TGCATTAGAAACTAGTTAAATGATTAAATAAAATTTTTAACGGCCCGTTGCCCTCGGATTAATGCATGCCAACGTGCGGTAAGTTCCGACTTCACGTCAAAGTTTTGTTAATTGTACTTTTCGAGATATCGAATGTGATAACGATAATGCCAATGAGCCGATGCTTTTTCATTCCCTTTATCCTTCGAGTATTTCTGCCGGCAACATCGTTTATTACGTTAATTAACTCCGTGATTAAAATTAGATATTTGAAATACTTGAATTATTGAATGAAATGAAAGTTAATAATAATGAGGACGACGATGGCGATGATAATATTGCAGAGCTTAAGCTTCCTTAATTATGCGAGAATGTAAAATTGTGAAAACTTGTAAAATGGAGAATGGGAGACGCGATTGTCAATGCTGTTTTTATTCAATTTTATTAAAATATCATCGACATTTTCCTCATGCTTAATGTTTAATTTAAGCACTACGTTAAACTACACGTGTCCATCTTTCATATCATGATTTTTTCTTATTATTCACGACGAATAATAATATTTTCCCACTAACTGACAATTCCGCTCTACCTCTCACGCATAGGCACACAAAATCTCGCGGCGCATACGCATACGCCTGCCACACTGTCTTGCGGCTTAGAGTTTGGAACGAAGGGCCCAGCGCTATAATAAATTGTTGTATACGTTAATGATAGACAAAACAACCAACATGCAGAAAATGAAAAACGCTTAATATATTATTAATTACATATGAAAAGCAATTAAAAACGCTACATGTAGCATACTCGTCTATCAGTGAGACTCGTTCTTTTTTTCTTTCATTTATTCATTCATTTATTTAATTATTTATTTATTTATTTATTTATTTATTTATTTATTTATTGAAATTACCAATTAGGGCTGTTCAGCACAATTTATAATATTAGTCATATAAATACAGAATAATAGTCTTAAGAATTATGCACGGAATTGAACGTTTAATTGAAAATCGAGTTAATGACAATTGTTCCTATTGATATTATTGCATTAAAGATAATATAACAATAATAACAATAATAACAATAATAGCAATGACAATAACCAACAACAATAACAATAGTAATAAATTAAAAAAAGAAAAGAAAAAAAAAAAAAAAAAAAAAAAAAAAAGGGTACCAATCCGAAATAGCACCTCTCATTTGGATATCGACCGTAATTTTTTTCGAATAAACGTTCAATTTCGCATTAAAAACCAGCTTGTACGTCTGTAATGAAATTAAATCGTACATAGATAATTTATAGTGTTAATTAATAATTACTAAGAAAACCAAGAGGCAACACAACATGGATGTTAAGGAAGAAGAAGGACTCGAAGGAGAATGAATCAAAATTTGTGGAGACCGTTAAAGCTTGTATATGTTAATCCATGAGTATTATTTCTGTAACAATGAATCAAAATAAGGAATTAGACAGGACAGAGACAAAGAATACGAAGACTATACAAAGTTTTGCACAGGTTCGTTACAGCGGTCCATCGAGTCTATCAATATTATTAACTCATCGATACGCGCAACAAAATTTTCTTTCTCTCTTGCCTGTAATGATGATCCTTTATTATTATTATTATTTTTTTCATCATCATGATTATTATAATCATTTGTTACACATGTGTTCCCCAAATGCAAAAATGCAGACGTGCAAAAATATCCCCCTTCCTCACGCTGATTCTCCTTCCTAATCATCGGAATGCTTTTAGTGGCTCCCCACTCAAGTCCCAAGTACATCAACTTTCAATCGACGTATCGACTAACGTCACATCCGCCTTCTTTTCCACATTATTATTTTTCTTCATTTTATCATGCTTGTTCGTTCGTTCGTTCGTTCGTTCGTTCGTTCGTTCGTTCGTTCGTTCGTTGTTCTTTGCGTGTGTGATGCGTCCGTATGTTAATGTTCGCGCAAAATGTGAGGCACAGCTAACACAAACAAGCAACGAAGCAAATTATACAATTTCGATTCGTAAATATTCGCTTTATCGTGCAATCCCAAATAATCCGAGATCGGTCGCGTTCGAGGCAATTTGCTCGGTATAACGGACGCATCGCCCGAGACCTGCTGAAATTGAATAATCACCATTAGTGGAGTGCCGCAACCTTGGCGGTTATGGAAGCGGATACGCGAAAAGGCGCCGACATACACTCGTACGTCTGCGGCTGAATCAGGAAAGAAGAAGAAGTAGAAGAAGAAGAAGAAGACGAAGACGAAGACGAAGACGAAGAAGACAATGCTGAAGTTGGCCGTCAAGTGATTAATCACGCTCCCCTCGCGATACGCTCTTTGTCGCAACATTTAATTTATAATTCCATTACCTATGGGCGATAATCGCAGTGGCCGAGTATTTGCGCCAGCGTATCGACATAAAAGTTCGACAGAGGTGATTTGGCACGTAAGTGGGGCGCGCGAATTTAACCAGCGCCCGGCGAACGCAGTAGTTGTACTAAGTGCCGTATAAAATTGGGGACTAGAGAAGGTGCGAAACGCATGAGGCCCCGGGCGTTTATACGACGTGGATCGTCGGAGATTTGGTGGAAGAGAACGAGGGGAGCGGAGACCGACGGGAGGACAACACTCGTCCTTCCCTCCTCCCGTCGAGCCTTCGGCGCGGAGGATGGAGCGCTGACGTCGATCGCATCCCACTTGGATTCCGGATTCGTCCTTGGCGAATTGAGCGAGCTTAACGAGATCTCGGGCCCGCCGCATCCTACCGTTCACATGCCAGGAGGATGCCAGAAGGATGCCAGGAAGATGCCCCGAGGCTTCGGCTCGGTCGCCTTAGCGTCGCGTTAGTCACCTGCACGTGCTCCGCCGGTCGCAACAGCTCCTCCTCTGCCTTTACGTCCTCCTCCCGTTCCTCCCGCTCCTCCTGCTCCACCTTCTTTTCCTGCTCCTTCTCCTGTTCCTGTTCCTGCTCCTCCTCCTCCTCCTCCTCCTCCTCATCCACCTTGAGCTTCTCCTCCTCCTTCTTCTCCTCCTCCTCCTCATCATCCTTCTCGTGGTCCTCGAGCCGGATTACGTGCTCCTCCTCGACCTGGTCATGATGGTCGTTGTAGTGATGGTGGTGGTGGTGATGGTGATCGTGCTGCTGCTGCTGCTGCTGCTGCTGCTGCTGCTGCAGCCCATTGTGAAGCCTTGTATCGACGAGCTCGGGCTCGCGTAGATGTTCCTGGAGCACTGTCTCCTCTTCGAGGGACTGCGCAGGTGGCGATGGCGGTGGTGGTGGTAGGGGCTGCTCCTCGAGCGGCTCCTCGGTACTCGGTTCGAGCGACTCTGTCGAGGGGCTCGTCGCAAGGGCGTTGTAAAGGAACTCCGTCCTCGTCATCGCTGTGTAGCTCGTGGTGCGGGAGGCCTTCGAGGGTGCCGGGGAGTCGGGCAGCGGGGGTGGCACCTCGTCCTCGGAGACATCGGGCTGAAACTCGTCGAGTTGGGAGGCCAGGGAGCGCTGGAGGCTCTCCTCGATTTCGACGACCTCCTCATCGGCGAGCCGCGAGTCGATCGAGCTCCGGGCTTGCGCGAGGTCGTTGTCTTGGTCTTGGCGCTGCTGCGTTTCGTGGGGCAGCTTGAGGGCCTCTGCGAGGGCGCTGGCGCTCGGGGCGACTTGCTGTGCCCGCTGTAGGGGCGAGGGATCGACGGGCGTCGGCGGGGGACTGGAGGGCAGGGCGAAGGCGGTGGCGACGGAGGTTACAGAGGGGCGTAGGAGGCTCGTTTCCTCAGTGGTTTTCTTCTCAGTGATAGACGACGAGGTAGTGCTAGTGCTAGTGCTAATTATAGCGGTAGCGGGCGTCGCGATCGGCTGGCTCGTCGCGCCGGGACTGACCTCGTCTTTGCTCTCGGGGAGCGCGGCTGGAGCGGCTGGAGTGACTGGGGCTGCGGCGGTGGTGACTGCGGCTGTGGCTGTGGCTGTGGCGGGGACTGGGACGACCTCGACCGGAGCTGGGCCGGAGGCGGGCGGTAACTGCTCCTTCTTGGTGGCGGGCTGCTCCTCGGCTGGTGGATCGGCGGCTACGGGACTGGAGGGGGCCTCCTCGGACGGGCTCTTCTCCTTGGCCTCATCCTTCGACTCCTCCGAGGGACTGCTCACGACGGACTTGTCGTCGGGGCTGCTGGCCTCCCCTGTCGTCGCTGCCGCGGCCTCGGCTTCCTCACCGCCCTGGAACGTAGGCAAACAAGAGGCGAGTTAGGGGTGGGGGGAGCTGCAATCGAGAGAAAAAGTGAGACCCGCCCAGAGACTGGGCTTATCAGCTGGCCCGACGATGTTCTTGACCACCACTTGCGCTCCCTGCACCCTCGAATTCGATGTCGCTCTTAGTAGGTGAAGAGCCGTCTATTCGTTATCGTCCTTCTCCTCCTCCTCCTCCTCCTACTCGTTCTCACCTACCTGCTCCTACTACCTCTCCTCATCCCGATCCTTACCCTTCGTCATTTCGTTACGCCTTAGCTCAACACGACAGGAGTGCCGATCGTACGATTCTGGTCTCTCTATCAGCCTAAGATCGATAGTATCTTGTGCGAAGGAAATCGTGACTTAACGATGGGACGGCGGCCGTGTGTGTCTGTGCTTGAACCCAGACGAGCAACGATCCATTAAATAAATCGGCGAGACGCTCATTAGACAGTTCCCAAACGCTATTTATTACTCATCGGGATACGACATTGCGTAAAGTGAACAAGTAGCTTAAGCTGCGAGTATTGTTGCATCTCCGTACGAACATGTAGAATTGCGATACGCCCCCGGAGTCATTGTACGTACCGCCTACCTTCACCCATATAATAACAAAGTATTTTTGCGAATCGCGCTGCAGGTATTGGACTCTTATCGATATCGACGACAATACATAATTCGCTTGATTACGTTTGTAAGTGGCCATAGGGGGTGTCTCGGTGATGGTATGGGACATACAATGTCCATTATCCAATTACAATTAACTTCCGCGTGATGTACACGAATGTTGAGTGGATTTTCATTAATTCAAAGACAATCGGAATCACCTGTAATATATTCAGTGACAATATTAACGTCCTCGGCAGTTTTCCTAATTTCTATTTGCAGAAAGAAGATGTAATTGGGATAAATGATAATCCAATTAATATCTGTATGATAATGTATTTTACGTAGAGTTTCGACGATGCTTGCCTATTTTCGATAGTAGAATGTTCATTGAGAGGTGTAATTACGTCAACAAAAAAAGTTGCGTGGAGACAGCTCTGCGTAAATGTTGTACATATAGAAAAAATTGCGAATGCGAAATCAAAGTGCGAAATATAAATTGACGTGAATATATAATATCCAATGTGAATAAGAAAGTTTGCGAATGTTAGTGTCTATAGTTGCCTTCGCCGTATTTTATTCGCAAATTATTTATTGACAACTAAATGAATTATTTCGCAAGAAAATACTTATCTAATGTAATTTAAAAATACATTGAAATATTATGTTGGATGGAAATGAGATAGATATTTGAGTATAATTTAATATCTACGAATATCATACTTTACATAGACACACATTAACGTCTGTAATTTTCTCCTCTTATTTAATATTCAAATGACGAATATAAAAAGTGATTTACGCACCAATGTAATTATTACCTTTTCCACGTGCCCCTAGTAAAAACTAATTGTTTAGCATTAAGACGAAATATATACATTTATACGTGCTTGTCATGCAAAAGAAAATCCATTTATTCCACCCACCTCACCAAAAATGAAGATAAAAGAAAGAAGATGAGGAAGAAGAAAGATGAGCGTCATAGCGATAAATAAGAAGTATAGAGCAGTACAATTCAAAGAATAAAAATAATGGAAACGAGCAAAGAAAGTAGTGCTCTAGTAATATGGCATAAACGAGTGGTAAAAGTCATGAAATCACGTTTTTAAGGGCACATGTAACGGAGACTGAGAATAAACTGATAAGGAAAAATGAAGCAAAATTTGCGTAAAATAAAGTATGTGGTGGGAGATTAAAAATGGGATCGGTTGGGTGGGAGGGAGGTACATAATCATTAAAATCGAGAATAAAAGGACGATCGACGAAGTGGAGAGTAAGAATAATAATAATAGTAATAAAAATGCGAGATTAATAGTAGCGTGGAGAAATTGAAGGAAATGAAAGAGAGCGAAAAGCAAAGTGCGTTAGGGTTTCGAGACAGGATCAGTGGAAAAATCTCTCTTGGTCCGTCGGAGGGGGTGTCGCGTCGTGGTTAGTGCGCAGACGCTGGGGTCCGAGACCGTCAGGGGTGACCAACCGTGTCAGTGTGTCAGCTGATGTGAAGCAACGTACGCGCGTATGCTCGGGGGATGATTGATCAAACGCGGATTTTTCACTCATGGGAAACTCGACAGGGGGCAGATGTGGGTGACGTGGTCGAGGATCGGGGCAGCGATCTAACGTCGATCGAACGATGATCGAATATAGCCGGTATCATCGGTGTCGTCGATCCAACTGGACGGCCCTGCCTGAGGGCGTAATTATGTAGACACGGAGAGGGGGGGGGGGATTTTCAACTCGCCGCTATCGATGTAATTACGGCTCAGCAGAAGGTAGTATTCCTTTCTGCGAACAAATTCGGGCTAATTCTCTCAGATCGCATCGGACCCCTCCCTTCCAACTCACCCCCAAATATTTGTCACAGAATCTCTTCCCGCTTTCACCTGTCGAGGTGAAGGTCTTCTTGTCGTTGGCAAATGAATCGATGGCTATTAATAATTGGTACTTTATCGAGCGACATTCACGTGTCGCGTTCATCTACGAAAATCATCCGCTAGAATTTTAAGTTCAAAGCTCGAATGTCCTTATGTCGGCCTCTAGGATTCGACTCCTTCCCAGCACGAGCTCTTATTTCCCTTCCCACTCCCGCGCTTCAATTTACTAATAAATTATTGTACTGGTTTATCTATAACATCGTCGCCCTTCCTCGGTAAATGAATATCGCAGGTGGAGGGTATTTCAATGTTCATTCCATCGACTACCCCCCCCCCCCCCCCCCCCCCCCCCCCC